CCTTAGACCTACCAACCTTGTCTACCCATGCCCTTAGCCCCATGTGGCTGCAACCGACACCCCCAAAAATCAAGCGAGACAAAGCCAGGTTCCAAAATTTGACGGAGCAGAACTCCATTGTCAAGTCCACGTGGCTCTAGCACCCGGCAAGTGTCCGCCCTCCCAGACCCCTGGGTCTGGGGCTTCAGGTACCCTCCAGATTCAGGGTGGCCTCCTAGGTGCAAGCGCCAGGCTCGGAGGCTCATACATCCCCTTGGCTTGCTTGATCTTGGGCAAAAGGCCGAGCCCTACTGGACTCTTGGAAGAGCACCGACACCTTGCGCCGGAGTGCGGCCAGCAGCGCCGAAAGGTCCGGGCCGGGCAGTCTCCTCAGGCTCTGGCTCCTGTGAGCGCCCAGCCGCGCTGCCCCGGCGCTGAGGCGCGTTTCTAGGGAGGGTGAGGTGAGATGCAAGGGCAGCCGGGCACGTTTAGCCGGCAGAAACGAGCGACGGCTGGTCGTAGCGGCTAGTTTCGATTCGCCCGGGTCCCAGCGCGTCGACGCCCGACCCCGGCCCCGGCGCTTCTCCGAAATGACGCGGGCTGAGCGGGGCGGGGCGAGGGCCGACCGGGCCAGGCCTCTGTTTACAGGCGCCCCCGTGAGCGGCCGGCGGCAGTGGTACCAGCGCGGGCCGTGCGGACGGCGGCTTCGGCTCTGGGTGCAGGTACGCGCTGCGCGACTGGGGCTGCCCCCCCCCCGCCACACACACTCTCTCTCTCTCTCTCCAGGAGTGAACCTGCGCATCCACACTGGGGGGAGGGGGGGGTATGTGCGTTTGGGCGTGTGCACACAGTGTGTTACACTGCTGGAGTGAATTTGCGTACTTGCGTAGCTTGACTCCTGTAGTATAACATGCTGGGTGAGCGTGCACTCCTGTCGTGCAACGCACCCTGCCTGTCTACGTGTACACGCGTAGATTCACTCCTGTAGCATAATGCACTGCATGCATGCATACTCCTACATATACACACACACACACACGTAGATTCACACCTGGGAGGTGCATACGTATGTGATTATGCATGTAGTGTTAAACTAGAGGAGTGAATCTACATGCGTGCGCACACACACCTGCAGAGATTTGCTCCTGTAGTGTCATGCACGTGTGTGTGTGTGTGTGTGTGGTCACTCCTGTAGTGTCACACACCTGTGTAGATACACTCCAGTAGTGTAATGCACCATGCGTGCAAACACACCAGCATAGATTCACTCTTTCAGTGTAACTACACAAGGCAGTGGCGTGGTTTGTCAGTCTGTGGTGGGGTGAAGGGGGGTCTTAACCTTCTTAGACTTCAGGCACTCAGAAAATGCCAGCTCTTAATTTCTACAGTCAAAAAAATGAGTGAAAACTGCCTAGTATGGATGTCAAAATAGTTTTAAAAAATACTGGTTCAGCCTCCTCTAGTTATATCAGGGTGGATTTGATTTTTACATCAAATCTATTTAAATCACTGGTCAGGAAGCCTTGTTATAATCATTGTTTTCTACAAAAAGTGCATTCTTGTTGTTTGATATCCTCTATTCACTTGACTTGAAAGGTTGCACTTTTAGACAGAGGGAAGGGCTTGACTCTGTGCACACAAACTTGCAGAGAGACGAGAGGGCCGATGGGTAGGTAATCCAGTCTGTTATCTTTCCTCTCCATATGCTGCTGTTAACAAGGATGTTATCTCTGGGGACAGTTTGAGAACTGACACTAAGCATCACAGAGATGCCCAACTGGTTCCTAAACAGCAACATTGGAAACCTTAGTATAAACAGCTGCCTGCATTTTGGCAACTGGTAATTTTTGTCAGGGACTAGGAATCTTGAGATTTGGTTCACCGCCACTGATGTGTTGACAGTCTTGATTTTGTGCCTTGTTCCCCTCATTTATAAAGTGGGGGGATAATGTACTAGCTCATTTTCTAAAAATTCTTAGTAGTTTAGAAAAGATAGACATGTCTAAAGTTTTCTAGTACAGTGCGACACTTGCTTATATACATTGCCACCTTTTGCCATTATTATAGGGAGGAAGTAATTTAGAAATTAAAAAGAAAAATCCTGTTCCATTTCCTGTTTCCATTATATATTTTATGATAACAGGACCAAGAATTGTCACTAGAATAGACACGGGTTTCTTTGGGATCATATCCACTAGCAGTGAGTTTGGTTGAAGAGGGGCAGGAGAGAGAATGATGAGCATAGAAAAATCTTTTTAAGAAAACACAAGGAACTATTAGCATGCTATTGTATGAATAGTTACAATGCTAAAATAATCATATGCACACTTAACTTATGAATTGACACTGGCAGAATTGCAATGCTTTGCATTTTACTAATGTTATTTTTTTTAGATTTTAAAATGCTGTAAGATTTTTCTTAGGGCTTTGCAAGATGTGTTGCAATCTAAACTAGAAGAATGCAGTTTAAATAATCAAAAGACAGCATGGGAAAAGGAAATCATAACTAACGTTTGCTGGATCACTGTTTCCTTCCTGCATCTATGGTACCTTTAATTTTAAAGGAAATGAGCTGGTACCTTAATTCTTCAGGTAGTCCTTTTGATTTGTCAGTAGAACTCCTTATGGCACATATAAACAGTGCTGCTCAACCTTCTGGCTCTGGGCCAGATGAGTGGTGGGAGGTTGGTCTGTGGGCAATCCCTTGTGAGGTTGGTCCATGGGTGTTATCCAGCAGGCTAGCCTGACCCTGCATGTCTGGATCTGGCTCTGCGCTTGCCTTGATCTGGTGTGCAGAGCCATGTTGTCTGGCCTGGAGGGCTCCCCATGGATCTGGAAATTTGAAAGCAGAGCAGCAAATAATGCTTCCATTGTTCTCGACTGCCAAATTTTCCAACACTTGAGGAATCCTTCTGGGCCATTGACACTGGCTAGGAGTTAAGCACCCTTGCTGTGTAAGGTACTATTATAGTTGTAGGGCTAGCTACATCCTTGACCTAAGTGTGGTTTCTTTCAGTGCACCCCTTTCCTTTACCCCTCCTGAAATGAAATTCTGTAATTTTCCCACTTGGAGTCTGAATCCTGTGCTTCAGTACCACCAGGTCTAGCTGGGAACAGCCCCCATTGAACTTCCCCTCTGGTGCGTGAGCAGTGAGGAATAGATGCTTCTTAAAACAAGGTGTCAGCTATTCGGTTTCAGTAGTTAGTGAACTGGAGACATTGGAGAACCAGGCTCAATCATTTAACAAATCAGCATAAATAAAAAGGTTATACACAACCAGTTACTGAGAACAATCTTGCAACAGTTGCATCTTTATGCTGTTGCTAATTCCAAGCTTGATCTGGTGATGTAAATATTAATTTTCCAGTTGTTTATGACAAATGGAAATGCCCACAGAATCCAGTTGTGTTTAATACAGATTTTGCACACCTTTTCCTCACTGAGCTTTTTGTACATAACATTCCAGATGTCAGTACACCATAGAGAGAGAAGTGCTAATTGTACCCTGGTACAGAATGTATATTTGCAAGCTTCAGTAAGAACATATGTCTTGTTTCTGACAGATATTGCACATGCAAAGAATGGTGGTTACAACAATTTAACTAGTACGTTTGTAGAGTAAAGTTTAACAGAAGAACAAAGGAGTCTGAAAGATTTTTAGTTAGCTTGGTGCACTTAAATCCTTGCTTTCCCTGTTACCTTGATCAAGATACTGTTATGCCTGTACCAAATGCATGTATCTTGTAGAAACAAATAGAAAATCATAGAACATTAGGGTTGGAAGGGACCTCAGGAGGTCATCTTAGTCCAACCCCCTGCTCAAAGCAGGACCATCCCTAATTAGATCATCCCAGGCAAGGCTTTGTCTATCCAGGCCTTAACCTCCAAGGATAGAGATTCCACAACCTCTCTAGGTAACCTGTTCCAGTGTTTTACTACTCTTCTAGTAAGAGTTTTTCCTTATATCAAACCTAAACTTCTTTTGCTGCAACATGAGACCATTGCTTCTTGTTCTGGTATCCGCTGAAAACAGTGTAGGTTCATTCTCTTTGGAACCACCCTTCAGGTAGTTGAAGGATGTTATTAAATCCCCTCTCAGAGTTCTCTTCTCCAGACTAAATAAGCTCAGGTCTCTCAGCCTGTCCTCAGAAGTCAGGTGCCCCAGCCCCCTCACCATTTTATGTTCCATAGGAATGGACCTTGTTTTAAAACCACTTTGTAAGTGAAGATTCAAAGTCAACACATGACTGCAATACAACAAAGTCCTTTTAAAAAAAATCTGAACTAGTGGAGATTATTTCCTGTTTTCCATTATAAATGACATCACCATAACTTTTTTTTTTCATGATGTACTGTGTCTAGATATTTGTATTAACATTATCCACTTGGATATCTGAGTTTATCTAGATACTAGATCTAGAGATAAATGCTAACATAATAGCTTTTTGGTACCTCTGTCACAAACTAGCATTTAAACTGATGACTTTCAAACTGTAATACTTTGTGTTGGCAACTTGGTCCCTGTGTAAATAATGTAGTCAACCTTAAAGCTATTATAGCAATGCATCTTGTTTAGTATTGCTGGATTTGGTAGTGCATTAACTGACTCACTGTGGTATGATGTTGACACAAAGCATGACGAAATAGTTAAATTCCCTTAGTTTCAGTGCTGACTGAATACTTAAGAAATGAGAAATGATATGAAACATAATACACCTCACTAGTATACATGCATAAAACATTATTAACAATTTCTGTTCACCAATATTATTAAAAAATATTTATTTGTACCATGTTCTGGGTTGAGATTTTTCTCTTTCTTTCACAACAAAGGTGACTTATAGTTTCACAGGAAGGGAAATAAAAGGCATTTTTTCTACCTGCTTTTACTTTAATATTTCTTTATGGTATTTTATTCCTTCCTGTGTAGTTTCTTTGTCTGAAAATGAACTATACATGACATGCTTTATTACTCATTTTTTGTTTTTGTTTCTTTTCTTTTTTTTTTACAGACCCTAGGCTGCCATTGCACTGGACACTAAATGCATAGACTAAAGTATGGTGAGTTTACAATCTAAACAGATAATTTTTTCTTTGTCCAAAACTTTATCTCATTTTACAGGTGGGTAACTGAGGCACCAAGAATAAGTAATTGGTCTATGCTCAACAGGACAGCTATGTCCAGAACTTGGGTTCTATGTCTCACCCAATAGATTAACCTTGAGGTCAGGTTTCATTTAAAAATCCCTTCTTTACACTCCTGTTGTTCTGACTTCTGTGGGCCAAGCCATTTTACATGCTGGTAATTTCCCAGATAACACTTGGCACTGTTGACATGAGAAATAGCAACATTTTTGCCAATACTATCTACTGGCATTTTATTGGAAATCTCCCTGCTCCTTCTCCTTCTCCCTAAAATGCTACCTCTAGGTTCTTAAGGCAGTTGTACTTCTCTCCATGCTTGCCTGAAGACAATACATAATAGGTTACCTGCATTGCATCCTAATGTATAAAATCGTGCAACATTTTTTGGAAATGCCAATGAGTGATACATGGGACGTGGTAGTGGTTGTTACTCATCTTTTTGGTAGGCATTCTACAAACCCTGTGTCCTTCTGAAATGCTACTCATCCTCTTTTCCCTGCCTGATCTGCCACATGTCACACACACACAGGCTGTCCACGCCACTTGTGGCACACATGCTGCAGGCTGACCACCTGATCTAGAAAGAAGACTATTTATTTAAGCCATTTTTATTTATGCCAAGTTGGGTATTTAGTACTACATTTTATTACCATTGAAGTAATTCAGAAGACCCATGGTAGACGAAATAATCATTTTCAGGATTGGGATGTAAAATTACCCAGCTAAAGTTAACAAAATGTTATTTCTGTACAGTAGCATGGAAAGACACCTAAGTTAGTTCTGAATGAGCTAGATAGCAAAGCAGCTTAGGCCTGTTAGTGTGGTGCTTCCCCAGGCTGATGTCTGTGGGTGCAAAGCTAAATTGCCTATATTTGCATAAGCTTTTTAGATATATGCTCCAGGTCTCACTCTGTACCTGCTGTAGTTCACGATTGTGTGTTGATAGAGGGATTTATTTGCAAAAAGCAGGCAGGCAAACAATATTTGTTTGTCCCGGGAATGACCAAATATTAACTTGCATCACAGACGCACATGACTGGGCTTTTTTGTCATGTGCTTCACAGGTACTTAAAGCAGGACAATGGACTTGTACTTCTGTTGGGTCCTGGGACAAAAGACTTTCTCAGAGAAATGCAGTCTGTTTACAGCCATAGATTCTCCCAAGTTGGGTGAAGTCTGAATTATTTTTGTATAAGGCAGTGTAGATTTACCCCTGATAGACAGACTAACTAAATTAGGGATGCGTAAATTCCAGTAAGCAGCAGTTTAGTCTAGAAAGCTTATGCATCTCTGATTTAGTTTTTAAGGTGCTAATTTAATATGCTCTAATGCAGTTTAGTCCACTTATGTCATCAGGCGCCTATGGCAGATGTCATCTGTAGCCTGTCAGTTATGTTTTGGGCAAGGCACAGCTAAAAGCACGGAGAAATGTGTTTGGTCTCAAACCCACATTTCACTGTTTCTGTGATTTATTTATTTATTTATTTTTAAATGGGTAATCCACCTCATGCTGAGAGGTGTTGTTTCCCTAACAGAAAAGTGGGACCCTTTGGTTACTTCTGGTTGAATATACTGGTTCTGCTTCTACTCATCTGTCCTCTGCAAAGTAGGTGCTGTGTTCAGTCAAACCATAATTTTGGTTTGCTGGTCCCAAACATGGATGGACAAATGTTTAACTTGTTTTGAGATGGAATTATATAATTTAAGCATACAGTAAACTTGTTTAATTAAGCTTCAGGGGGAAGTACAACAATGCATGTTACATAGTGACTAACAAGCCCGATCTGTTCAGAGGTTTTGTGTGGATAAGTACTGTATTTGCTTGATTAATCCAGGATGAGACTTTCCTTCCCGCCCCCTCCATTCAATGTGATGAGGGGAGGGGGGAATAAAGCCTTCTTTTAGAATTAAGTATGGGATGGCTCTAGCCAGGAGCTGTGGGAACAAGCCATATCCCTGGCTGGTCTGGGTGCAGGGGAGTCCCCGAGCAGCTCCTGACTGCTTCTGCTTCATGCTTGCAGGGAGCCCTGCTTGGCTAGAGATAACAATGGCAGTGTGCAGGGTCCTTCCAGTGGCTGCTCCCTGTCTTTCCCTCCCCACTTCCACTCCCCAGCCCCTTCGCTGGCTGGGAGCAGGTACTGGAAGGAGGAACCTGCCTGCTGCTGCTACCCCCAGCTGATGCAGGTACGGGGGGATTCCCAGAGCTGCTTCTGGCCCACACTGCAGGGAGCAGCTGTGTAGCAAGCCTGGCTTACCTGCAAGCTACTGCCACTATCCCCAGCTTCCTCCTTCCAGTGCCTGCTCCTGGCCAGCAGGGGAGAAATGGGAAATGGAGGGAGAGCGGAGTGGAGGAGGAAGGAAAGAGCAGACACTGGAAGAAGGAACCTGCATACCACTGCTGCTGTCCTTAGCCAGGTTGGACTTCCTGCGCAGCTGCTGTGTTTAGCATGTTGGGGGCAGTTCTGGTGCCCCCCGCTGCATGCAGTTCAGTTACAGAAGTGGGGAACATAATGTCAGGGGGGCAGGTGTGGGGTGTTTAGGTATGGGGGGGCAAGGGGTGGGCATCAGGCTGTTTAGCCTCCTTGCCATTGCTTTCCCCACTGCAGTGATGGTTGTGGTGGTGGGGATTTTAAAATGACCCTCCAATAATAATTAGCTTCTGTACATGGAAAACTTTATAATAAATTGCATTCAAAGTCACCTTGGATTTAGGTAAATTTGGTACTTAGCTGTCTGAGTGAGATGTACATACAGACCTCTTGGATCTACACATTAGGAGCCAGCCCTGCTCCCCCTGAAGTCAGTGGTGAACACTGATGAACACTGTAATCTCATTGATTACACAGTAGTATCTGATTTTGAAAACTCAGTTACAGGTGTTCAGGATGCAGAATTTCTGTTCTTTGAGAAATCCAACATTTTTGGGAAATAAGCAATTCTGATTTGGAATGAAAAGATGAAATTTCAAAGCTTTTTTTGCAAAGACAAAGTTCAGGAAACATTTGATTCGGGACCTTCACATATTCCTTTTTGACAATGTTTCATTTCCACTTCAGCTTTTTAATGTTTTTTTCCCCTGTTCATGTTGTATTCAAGTACTAATGTTCGCACATGCACATGCACATACAAACATGCACTGTTTAATAAACTACATAAATTAAAGATAAACTATTATTACAGCGTGACAGTCAAAATACGCATCAGTGTAAGCTGTAAACAAAATGTGTCAACATTTTTCTTATTGAAATATTTATTAGAATCTATGCTTTCCCACAACTCATTATGATTTTGACAAAACTGTGTTTTGAGACAAAACTGTTCCATATAATATTTGTTAAAGGAACTTGCAAGATTTCTCTGCACTTCTCTATATAGACCTTTTTGATGTACTTCATCATTCATTACTACTACCTCTTTTGAACAGAACCGGGAAGTACAGAAAGTCACAGAAATTTAAAAAGCAAAATGCCTGGAGGTAGTTGGTCAGATTAATGCCAGACAAAGTGTTATTAATGTTGGGGAGGAATTTGGGGGTCAAAACTATATAGAAAGAATATTGAAACTGTAGGGAGAGTAGGCATTATGCCAGCCATGGAGGGCAGGGGAGGTCTAAAAGGGCTCTTCCTCTGCTTCTAGCACCAAAAGCCTAGCCTTCCCATTCACAGCCTTCTTAATTTAGCAACTGGGTTTTTCATTCCTACTCTTCGCTTACTATTTTTCTTCCTTTCTTTTTGGGGGAAGATGTGATCCTATTTGAACTCATTTCAACTGGTATAAAGCAGTTGCAAGTGTGATCAGACTCAAGTAGGCATCGCTCCTCTTATGAAAAAAATAACATTTTTCATTGTGTTTGAACTTGCTTCCCTTGTTTGCATAATATTGACCATGTTTATCACATTGAGGCTTCCTTTCTTTCTGTTTGTCTTCATTAGAAAATCAGTAACAAAAATAAACATGTTGCAACCAAAGGTCTTCTGCTATATTGTTGGATAAAATGTTCTCTGTCAATGGTTGGTTTTTAAATGCTAATTATTATTTGAAATGGGCCCTTTGACAAATATGTAATATTACAGTAAACAAGTTTTATTTCTGAGCAAAAGCCAAAACCCCACCCTAGGAATTTGCTCCAGCATTAGCGCTTGCAAGAACAACTCCTGCCAAAGTCCAGCTTTGATAAATTGAACCACTAGCAACAATCATAAACTGTAACCTGTTCAGAGCCAGTTTGAAGACCTGCACACAATCTTCATCAAGAGATCATCTCTGTAGCTGAAATATTTTAGGATTTATTTTTCTGCCCTGCAATCATGATTTTTATCCGGTCCACACGTTAGATAGAGATGCCGATTCCTACATTTTCTGTTTCAATCAAAGGGCTTCTTGTAATATAGGTAACAATATATTTAAAAATATATTTACCATATTTCATGATGTACAAGTTGAGGTTTGAAGCCCAAATATTGACCCTTAAATTCCACCTTGACTTACACACTGTATCTAGCGCACAGCTTCTGGGCAGGGCTGCTGCAGCTACCAGGGTACTTGGCTTCCCCAGTGTCCTACAGCTCCTTTTCTTCTTGCTGCAGCACAGGGCATGGGGCTAAGGATGGCAGGAGCGGGAAGCCTGGGTTTAGGGGGGGGAGTGGGAGCATGGAGCTTGAGTGGGCAGGCTGTAGATGTGTGGGGTGTGAGGCAAGGTGGGGGGCTGTGGGGATTCCCCACTTGCTGCCCCCCGTGGTGCATGGCAGGTGGCAGGCACTTGTGGCCCATGCAGGTGCTGCTGCCCTGCGGCATACAGTTCTGCTGGCACTTGCATCACTGGGAGAAGCTGTGCGTGGTGGAGCTGGTTGCCTTCTCTGCCCTCTGTCTGCATGCAGTGGTGATCGAAGCCTGGCTGGGCCACCTCTATCATGCTATTTGTTGGGGCTCTGCTGGTGTGGCTGAGGCAGCACTGGCCCTGGCTTCTGCGAGCAGCATGGCCTGGGCTACGCCAGCCAAGAGCCAAACCCATCCCCATCCCCTGCAAGTGATACAGCCTGGGCTGTGCCAGCCAAGCACCAAGCCTGACACCAACCACTCCGGCCCTGCCCCCCCGCCGGGTATCCTGCCTGCAGTGAGGGCATATAGGGGCCAGTATAAGTTGACTCCATGTTTCTGATCCAAAAAGTCAAGTCAACTTATACACCGGATCTACGAAAATCCTAACTTTTTTTAATCAGAAAAATGGAGTAAACGTTTACACCGCCTCGATCTGTACACCATGAAATACGGTACTTTTAATTATTTGCACTGTTTTTATTGCTTTCTATTTATTTTTATATTTCCCCAGCTTGAGAAATGAAACTGAGGTCCCATCTACGTCTGTTTCCCTGACACATTTGGCATGGTTTTAAAATGTTTTTGAGTCCTATGGAAACTGCAAAATGAAGCTATGCTTCAACTGTGCTAGGACAGTTATCCCTCCTAGAACTGTTGCCTTTCCAGTGTAGATGAGACCTACTATTAGTTAGTTTTGTTTATAGCTATTTTCTTTTTGTTGTTCTTTGACACTAACAAGATTATAAAGATTGGGTCCTAAACACTGAGAGAGGCTTTTGTCTGTAGACAAACAAAAAAAAATGAATCTTGCAAGCTTGTCTTCCTTGTGGAATTGTCCTGTTTGGTTTTTCCCAGGCACTGTCACCATGGGGCAAGTGTTAATAGGGAGCTCGATTCTTACACTTTTAAGCTGAGCATAATTTTGCTACTGAGCCCAAGTAAGGGGAGAGGGGTGGGACCTTAGTGATTAATAATAATAAAAAAAAAGAATAGGTCCCTATTGGAGCCTCTTAAATTTTAGTGATATTTTTTTTTGTTTTTAATTTATTGCTCCACTCAGCACTTGAGATGGTTTTTGAGTCTGTGCCAGTGCTTTAGATAAGATTCTTGAATTTGGTTACTTTGTGTATTATTAAGGTTGCATACATATATACATCCCCCAAAATGACTTGTTAGTGTTTTCCTGTCATGAAGCTAGCTGTTGGTACACAATATGCACTGTTGCACTCTATTTCAGTTAACCTGGCCTTTTTCTTGCATCCTTGGGGCTGTACTGTTAGCAGTGTTTTCCTTGGTTGTAATTTGTTTTTCTGTTCTCCCTATACTCAGATTTGCAAGATGGAAATGCTCTGCAATACTTTTGTTTAATTACAGAAGTTCAATCTTGAAAGACAATCCTACTTGAAACTTTCAAAATCACAATTTCTTTCTTTGTGATTTTGGGGGGGGGACTGGTATTTTTCTGGGTATATTTTGCTATTTTTAATACATTTTTACCAACCTACTAGCTAGCTACCTGTGCGCTTAATTCAGTTAAGCATGGGAAATTTAGTTTCCAATTTTAAATTGTGAATATTCCCTTTTTTTAAAGGGTTGGCTTTCTGTCAGTGCTACCTTTTTATCTCCCCTTTGTTTATGTTCAGTGCTCATGTCTTAACTTTACAACAGATTTAACTTCTCAGCATGGAACTTATATGTTTGTAAGGCAATATTTTAGGCTGTCATAATATCATATAATACAGTTCTGTATGTAGATTAAAAACATGGGAAAATATGCTTATTATTTCCCATTTTTCACCAAATTTTAATTTATTTGACCAAGTCTAATTGTCCCCAGTGTATGTGTATGCATTTAAATAAATTAGAATCTTATTTAGAAACAACCAAACCTGTCTTCTTTTTTTCTTTAAATGACAACAATGATCAAAAAGTTTATCAGCCAGAGAACTAAATGTCTTTGCTTGAAGTTGATACAAAACATGAGAAAATGAGACATGACAAAAGATCAGACGAAAGATTTGGTTCAAAATGGTGTTATGATTCTTAGCTGCAGGGGAGAGGGGAGATAATCTTGTGGTTGTACTTCTAATGAATGGCTGTGTTAAATCCAAGATGAATGTTTTAGAGTAGTGGTTCTCACCTTTTTTTGACTGGGATCCATCCATTAAACACTGATGGCCAGCTCTAGGCCCCCTGTGTGTGGGTAGGGGGTGAGTGTGTGGGGCGGGGGAGAGGCATGGAATTCAGTTTCCAATGTTTTTCTTGTTTAAAGGAGGATCTATTTTTAAAGTTTGTTCACAACCCTTTCATATATTCTTATGACCAGCTTTTTGGTCATGACCCATGGGTTGAGAAATGCTGTTTTAGAGACTCCAGAATCAAAGTGAATTGCAGTTGCAAAAGGGTATTTATACTTAATCCTCAGAATGTGGACAACTTCTCCTGAGGTCATAAGAAAAACAGATCTTTTTATGTATTAAAAAGAAATACTGTTTATGTGAGCATTTAATTGTTTTTTCTTTCGAGGGAGGAGGAGAGGCATGGTATACACAGGCTCAGGATTTTGATTTCTCTCTGTTTCCTCTGCTCTCAGCTAACATGGATCCCATGCTATATGCAGAATCTATGAAAAAAGCTGGGAATCAGGATTTTAAAAATGGGAACTATGCCTTGGCCATCAGGAAGTACGACGAAGCCATCTCTGTGTCCTTCCAGTTATGCCAAATGGGGCTGTAAGTATTCAACTAATGTAGGAGACAGTACGTTTGAATCTGAAAATGAAGTGTCCAAGCTGTCAGAGCACAGCAGAAGGCAAGAGCTCTGGTTTCTGTCCTGGTGATGACTTCCCTATGTCTCTTGGCTGACTGCTTAACCTCCTCAACAGTAAAATGGGGATGATGGTGATGATGTAATCTGACTTGTATGTTATGAAGATTAGCTAGCTATTACCTTGCCAACTCTACACAAGTGTTAAGAAATATTGTAAATTTACAAGTTTAAATTAAAACTTTTAACCAAACTGTTTGTTTATTTCATAGTTTCATAATTGGTAGGGTCGGAAGGGACCTGAGCAGATCATCAAGTCCGACCCCCTGCCATGGCAGGAAAGACTGTTTGTCTAGCCTCCTCTTAAAGACCCCTAGGGTAGGAGCCAGCACCACTTCTCTTGGAAGTTGGTTCCAGATCCTAGCCACCCTGACCATGAAGTAGCACCTCCTGATATCTAGCCTATATCTACCCTCTGCCAGCTTGTGACCTTTATTCCTGGTCACTCCTGATAGTGCTCGGGGGAACAGGGACTCCACCAATGCCTGCTGGTCCCCTCTAACTAGTTTGTAACAGGCCACTAGATCCCCCCTCAGCCTTCTCTTGTGGAGGCTGAACAGGTTCAGGTCCCATAGCCTCTCCTTGTAGGGTCTGCCCTGCTGCCCCCTGATCATGCAAGTGGCCGCCTCTGGACCCTCTCGATGTTGTCCACATCCCTCCTGAAGTGCGGCGCCCAGAACTGGATGCAGTACTCCAGCTGCGGCCTGACCAGTGTCGCATAGAGGGGGAGAATTGTCTACTTTTTTTCCCCTCTCATTCTGGCTCTTTCTGCTGATGTTGGGCTAGTCTGTGATTTCAAGTACTGCTCTGAAAAAGGGGCAGGACTTTAACTGCACTCATGCTGGGAGGAGCTGTACATACCTCAGGAGAAATGCTTTTTCCAGTTACCCTTCTCTGCTGGGTGAATGGAAGGAGTTTTGTTTCTGCCTTTACAAGGTGTAGTAGTTTTTTGTCCTCTTGTCTTAAGCTGTTCTCTTTATTCTTCCACCTTGTGCTTTAGTAAGGACCTAGAGGCACAATATAAAGGTAATCTTAAAGGTAGGTATGATAGGGTATTGAGTCTAACGTCTCTGGCTGGCCAGGCTAGGGCACAATAGCCCAGTGAACTTCTCTAAAACAAAGATGACCCTGGGCATTTTCATTTTTCTGAATTTGTGTTGCCTCAGTGAAGCTGGTGGTGAAATCAGTAAACCTCATGCTTTTGTTTTAGTTTTTCAATGATTTTGTTAGGTGAAGTTACCTTTTTGACTCTTTGGAAAGCAAGTCTAAATGTCAAATACTTTCCAGCACGTTTAAATAGCTGGGACTGTGTCATTTTGCTGAATATTTTTTCTTCTAATGGCAACATGCCACAAAAGCTTTGTCGTGCATTAATTCTGGAGAGTATAATGTACAAAAATGTATTCATGGTATGACGTTCTCCCTCTCCTCATCATGTTCCCATTTTAAAGGATCAGTTCTGCTGCCCAAACAAGAAGTGTCTTAAACAGTGGTGCTCAACCCCTGGCCCATGTGCCAAATCTGGCCCATGAGGCTGTGCTATTCAGTCCATGGAGTTTCTCACGGGTCAGGAAATTTGGTGGCAATGTAAACTGCCATGGCTTCCAGAGCCACAGCAATGAATGCTTAACACTGTTCCCCTACCAATTTGTGCACCCATGGGAAGACCTGTAGGCTGGATGACATACGCCAGTGTACTAGACCACGTGGTCACTCAGTGGCCTTTTTCTACATGGAGAACTAAGCTGTGGCTTGTGTTTGGGGCCAGTCTGTGACTGGATCTGGTACATAGGGCTGAGCCGCACACCAGATCGCATCTGCAGACCACTCTACATGCTGACACAACGTGGATTCTGGCCTCATGCTACTCATTGGATGAGCTTAGAAAGTGGGCGGATATAAACTTGATGACATTCAATACCTAAAAATTCAAGGTACTCCACCTCGGGGGTTGGGGGGAACCCGCAGCATGCTTATAGGCTTGGCAGTGTTACGCTCACTAGCACCACTGCTGAAAGAGACTTGGGGGTCATGATGAACTACAAGATGAACATGAGCCACCAATGCGATGTCACAGCTGGTAAAGCAAACAAAATTCTGGCTTGTATCCATAGATGCTTCTCAAATAAATCTCAGGATGTCATCTTCCCACTGTACTCAGCCTTGGTGAGGCTGCAGCTGCAGTACTGCATCCAATTCTGGGCTCCACAATTCAAGAAGGATGTTGAGAAGCTTGAGAGAGTCCAGAGGAGAGCCACGTGCATGATCAGAGGGAAAGAGGATAATTCTTATGAAGACAGGCTGAGAGCCATGGGACTCTTCAACCTGGAAAAGCGCAGGCTCAGGGGTGACCTTGTTGCTGCCTATAAGTACATAAAGGGTATGCAACAAGGTCTGGGGGAATGTCTGTCTGTTCACCAGAGCGCCCTGAGGGATAACAAGGACCAATGGTCCTAAACTCTTCCGAGACCATTTTAGAATGGACATAAGGAAAAACTTCTTTATTGCCCGAGCCCCAAGGCCTGGAATAGACTCCCTCCAGAAGTGGTGCAGGCACCTGCTCTGGACTCATTCAAGAAACATTTGGATGCTTATCTTGCTGGGATCCTTTGACTCTAGCTGACTTCCTGCCCCTGGGGCAGGGGGCTGGACTTGATGATCTTCAAGGTCCCTTCCAGCCCTAATGTCTATGAAATCTGACCTGTGGGGCCAGCACGTTAAGCATTGCTGGTTTTGTACTCAGAAACTGCACATCTCTGCATTTGCTAGCATGTCCTATCTTCTATGATAGTATATCTTCACAAAGCAGTAGCACTGGTTAACTTAAGGTGTAAAATGAAAACAGTTTAGCTCAACTGAGGCCAACTCGTATGAGGATGCTTTACTTCAGGTTAAGGACCTTATTTCAGTCCATCCTAAACGTATTAAGTCAACTTGAAACAAAATGCTCTTAAAATGAATTAAACCTGTCCACATTGGGGTTTGTATAAGTTATCTGAATCAATTTAAAAAACAATTTTATATAAATCAGTGCAACTTTCTTATGCCAATGAACCCTTTGATTATAAGTTTTTCTTGTGCGCTGGCCTTTATTAGGCCACTGGCAGATGTTAAAAAGAAGAATCTGACGTTCAGTCCCAACAGCTGTGCTTCCTGTCATGCTACTCCTGCTTAGCAGGAGGCACCATTGTGGAGTTGAACATCAGATCCCATCATGCCATGTTGTTGGTGCAGGGGGAGCCTGGGATGATTTATGTCATTCCTTCATAAATCTGGTTAAGATACAGTATAACTTTCAGGAAGACATGCAACCCTAGTTTAAAGACTACAAATAATGGTGAAGCTGCCATGTCTGTAGGTAAATTTGTAGATAAATGCTTGGGTTATGGTTAAAGTTAAAAAATTGCTCCCAATTTCTAATCTGAGTCTAGCTTCAGCATCCACCCATCTGACCTTGTTTATACCTATTTATTAGTTTAAAAATGTTCTACTATCAGAGACCTTTTCCCCATATGGATACTTTATATGTCACGTGCGAGTCAGCTCATAACCTTCTCTCTTAGTCTGTTACTGCGAGGCAGATTTTCCAGGCCTTGAATCATTCTTGTAGCTCTTTTCTGAACTTCCTTTATGAATTGTTGACTTGAAAACTGGACAGAATGTTCCAATGCCTATCTAATGCTATCTAGGTTCATAATAACCCTCATAATTCAACCAGCATGGTTCTACTTGCTATTCAAAACTAACACAGCACTGGGATAATTCTTTTAAAACCCTTGGTGCAAGTTGCTCTGATCTCCAGGTTCAAAACAAAAAGCAAAAACATTTAACTTTGCTTGTTGTTGGTGGTGCTCAGTAAAAAAGCTTCTGTCTCTTGTTGGCTAAGTTTAAGTTGAATTTCATGTTGTTTAAACTATTATAGTTATTCTCAAACTCTGATCTGTGGACCCCTAATGGTCCAAGTAATCCTTTAGTAACTCGCAGAATGAAACTGCAAGTGTAGATGTGAGGTATTGAGCAAATAAGAGATTTAGGATCTGTGAAAGTATTTTTGTCTCTAAATGGGGTCTGCAGAGGAAGGGGAGGCATAAGCAGAAGAGAGAGATTTTGCTAAAAATCTTAAGCTTTTGAGTTCTGTACTCGACTCACCATTAACAATAACTAACCATAGCTATACCTGTAAAACCAAATTGTGTTGACTTTCATTATCAACAAAATCTCTGTGCAGTCTGCTATCTAGTTGTATTTTTTCTGTTCTTTTTTATTTACTAGTTGATTTAATGTTTTTCAAACCATAAGTCTTGCTTTCAAACATCCTACTGAATTTAGCAGGATGAAAAATATGCTTCCTATCTGTTCCTGAATGCTTATGTGACACTGCCAGTTCTTTCATGTGCGTCTTGGTCAGGTTTGAATTTTAGGGAGGAAGAATGAAGGTTTTTGTTCTCAAGCCTCAGTATTTGAGGGATATTTTCAGGTTTACTTTAAAAACAATTCCAGAGCTTAATATTAATAGAAAATGTACTGCATTATTTATCTCATCAAAATAGGTTTTTTTTTGTTTTGTTTTAAAAAAATCTGAAAACCAAGTTTTTGCTGGGAAAAAGTGCTCTCTCTCATCATCTTATATATCACTTTATAGCTAAGTTTTTACAAGGGGGAATGTTTGGGATTTATAGTTACTGAAATGGAATAGGACCTCACCCCCCACAGCTGCTTGATTGGTGCTTTTGTTAAAATTATCATAAATGGTAGCACTAACATAACTAATAACCATAATATTAATATTGTTACTTTTCGATGCATTTTAAACATATTCCTTTTTCTGTATTTTTTGATTCAGATGTTATTCAGTGAGGACTAGATTCAGGAGGTGAAACATGACTAGGAGCAAAGAGAGACCTGAACAGTCTGCTTTCATTGCCTTAGCTAAGGGCTTAAACTCTCTCACAGAATGGGCTTCTTAAACGTTAACACAGAGAGATTCTTTTGGATCTTCCACAGTTACACTGCATCCTTTTGGCAACTGCAGCCATTGCTTAAGTGGAAGAAGAATGTTAACATGTTGAATGTAGTTGTAGCCATCTTCCTCATTTCCAGCTGCTAGGTTAAATCTGAAGAACGGCCAGCAGGTGTCTGTCATTTCTTCATGAATGGCCAGAAGGTGCTCCTTTGGTATTAGTGCCCCATGGACTGCAGTTCTGATGATTCTGCTTGCTCTAATGTATTGTGAGGAGCAAACAAAAAGCATCCACATTTTATATTTATTTTCATTTAAAGAAAAATTAATTCAGCATAACTCCAGCTACTCAGAAGTGCTTTCTGATGCAGTTCCCTGCTTATTTAATGGGAACTTGCATATGGAGCATGTACCAAGACTGAACTCATTACCAGTGAGTTTCCAGGTACAATTGAAGGTGTTGATATGCTCTGACCCTTAGTCTGTTGCACTGGGTGTGAGAGGCAGCAGATGTTTCTGGGTGAACAGAACCAGAGTTTACCACCTTTTATTCTATCCCAGCCAAGCCTGGGGAGCTGAGCCAGGACAAGTTCAGAAGCTGGAGAACTCAAATGTATTTCCTTCCTTGGCCTTTCAGAGTATTAGTGTCTTGACTTTCAGGGCATATTGCAAAGATTATACATTATAAGCTTTTATGAAGACAGATGTTTGAGCTCTCTCTGCCCGGACTGTACTATCCATGGGCAACAGGTGCCTCCTCAGTCAAGGGGGGCACTTGCCCCCCCAGCAGCCAGTCAGTGACCAGGGGGGGTCCCTCTGTGGCTGATTGTGCTGATCTGGAAGTGCCAGTGGCGCTTCTCTTGGAACCTCCACTCCCTGGCCGGCTCTCTTGGAGGGGCGGGGGGCACCAGCGCTCCTGCCCATCGCCTAAGTGGGGAATGCTAGCTGTCAGGGGGTACACCAGCACTCTCAGGGGGTACACTTGTACCCCCCTACACGTTGCCACTGGTCTTGTCTGGTTTGGGAGTTTTTGTGTTTAATAGTAACACTGCTGACACTTAGGGCCCTGCTATACATTACATATATTATGCGATTAGCTGCTTAGTCATGCAATTAATTTAACTGGTCATGCAAAGTTAGACCAGCCACAAGTGCAATGTAATTGTCACACAATTAACTGGTTAATTGCACAATAAATTCAGGTCAGCCACACATGGAAAATAATTATCACATGATAAAAACGATTAGCCAGCTGAAAAGAGCCAGCCAGCTATAAAGGTAGTGCTTGAAAATGTGTAACAACTTTGTAGCTGGTTTCTATCCAGCTTTAATTTGAACGTGTAGCAGGGCCCTTTGAAATGTTTAGAAGAAAGAATTTAATAGGCCCCATATAAATAGATAAACGTGAGTAGCACAGCAAGTATCATCATTTTACTATTCTTTTGTTTGTTTTTTAGAAATGGTTTATAACCCATGTCCTTGCAATCCTAGATGAATTTGAGGAGCTCTTTTGACTCTAGAATGACAGTTATGAATTGGTACTCCTTCCATTCCCGAAGTCTAGTAATAAATACCTATTTTAAGCCTTCTAATAACTACCTATTTATTCTGTCCATATTTATATTCATTCTAGTCCCCAAAACTAATATCTGAACACCTCATAGCTATTGGTGAATATATCCTAACAGTCTTATAAGGAGTAGGTACTGGAGGGCACAGATTTAAGACAAAGCCAGGGCTTTTATCCTACATCCTCATCTGTCCTGTTCCTGTGCCTAAAGCTTTGTCTGTAATGTCTAGATGAAGAATCTTAGTATTTGTAGAAGCTCTAATGACTTTATTGGTATAAAGGCTTGGGGTAGATTCCCAGTGCTCTTATTTAGTTCTTTCTTGATTCTCTGACATTAATAACTCTTTTTAAGAAGACGGGCCAGATCCTTAGCTATCGTAAATTTGAGTAGCTCTAATTACTTCCATGACTTATGCTACTTTGCATCCACTAGAGATCTACCCCAATATTTTTAGTTAGCTTTCTGGTTACCAAGATATACTGGGTTTCCTTTATCATTTGGCACCTTCAGTTCATGTCTGTTCATACCTTGAAACCTGGTCATGCAGCCAGCTGTGTTGTACAGTTGAATCAATCTATGGTATTTTCAGTATTCTCCAGGTGAAATGGAAGAAATATATTAAATGTGAGGAAAGGTGTGCCATCAGAAAGTTGGCGATATTATAACCAGAAAAGGTGAACTTAGTTGTGCACGCACGGACTTACTTTGGTATTTCTTAACTTTATAAATTCAGTGTACAATCAAAGTGATTTTTACAGTTGGACTTTGTGTCTTTTTAGAATGTGTTTTTTTTTTCTTCTGTATTTTCTTTTTGGGACACAATGTAAAAGGTGTGTGTGTGTTAAAGACTTCAATAACCTACCATATATCTCTTTGAAAAAGACCAAAGATGTATATTGTTTAACTTTTTCTTAGCTGTACTCGGAGAGAGATGGCCAAATTACTTTGCAGCAAATCAACTGCCTTCTATTGTCTGAGTAAATGGCAAGATGCATATCAGTTAGCCGAGGAAAGCCTCAGCTGGGATCCATCATTTATTAAGGTACTGTACATTTAACACAAGGTATTAGCAGTACTTGGCAACTTTATTTCTAAATGAGAATAAAGATTGGATTCTTTTTTCTAAGATTCAGTGTACAGGTACATCTTGCAAGAGGAGTGAGAAAATAATTTCAAGATGCCAAATCAGTAGCTGAATATTTATGTAAATTAAAAAAAAATTACAACAGGTATTATGTTAATACTGTACTTTAAATGGAACTGGCATATCCAGGTATAAGGAAACTATAAATACAGTAGAATGAAATTCCCATGCTGTTGATTACAAAAGCATTCAGTATGCCAATGGTGTTGGTTCTGTGGGTATATCAAATCCATGCAGTTATTACAAATAGCTGAACTACTTCCGGACAGACACGGTCCTTTGGGTAAATCTGATATCTTTTATTAGACCAACTACTTACGTAATTAGTAATGTTGAACATTTATGGCTTTACAGCCAGATTCTCCAAACCTTATTCAGTCAGAAATCTCTGTGTAAAGTTGCTAATAGCTATGTTTAAGGATTTCAGAGGTAGGGCCCCAATCTTCTAAATTTAGGTACCATAACAATGTTTTCTCTCTCTCTCTTTTTTTTTTTTTCTTCTTCCCTTCCCCCTTACCTCCCCACTCCTCCAGGCCTACTATAGAGCCGGCTTTTCAAAGTTTAAGTTGTCAGCACCTGAATATGCAGCTGGTCTCTTTATTCAGGGTTTGATTCGTCTCCGTGGTTCTCAGGATCAGTCTCAAAAGGTTGATTTTATAGTCGGAATCTTCATGTGCGTTAATGGTAAAGTGGAATTCAGACTTGTAATATTATTATTCATTCAGTAAGGAAAAGATAAAATAAATGGAGCATTCCTCATGAGAACATTTAACTTTTGTCATTATCTGCTTGGGGGTCACAACGGAAAGTTGTTAATATCTGAATGGCCTATCAGGTCACCTAAACAGCCTCAACCCAATTTGTAGATGACAGAGTTGCATGTACCCAAGACACTCTGGAACTGACTGTTGCCCCTCTGAAGTACCCCAACAGTGTTGCAGTTACAGTTGCTTGAGGTTTTTTCTCCCCAGAACTTTGCAAAAATCTTGCTAGGAAATACTGACAATATTTTGGTTTGTTGTTTACCAGGGTGGGCTTTTCTAGTTTTATATCTCTTGTTAACAAAAAAAAAAAACTTTGATTGCTATCATCTAAGTCACGTGGAGAGATCCATCAAAGTGGCAATGGTTTGTTTTAAAAACAAATAGAAATAAAACATTTTGGCTAAGTCCTGCAGAGAGAGTCCATTTGGAACACTAAAGGAAAGGGAACGTTTTAAAATGGTTTGTTATTCATATTTTGAGTGGACCATTAACGATAATGAATGTGGGAGTTGGGGTTTTGGAACTATCTAATCTGAGCCTAAAGAAACAGAAAGCTTGGAAGTAATACAAGACTGGAAGGCAGGCAAATGTAATACTGCTTTTCAAATCAAAGGAAGAAGAATTGTCCCGGCAGCTGCTACCCTTTTAAGCGTCACTTTTATCCCTAGTAAGTCAAGGTAGCAGATGTAAAGAGAAAATTATTGATGGGGAAATAGATCCTTGAGTAATAAGTAGAGCTACACTGATACATCGGTCCGATATCGGATCAGTACTGACATAAGGAAAATTTGCTGCATCGGATATCAGCACAATGGGGCTGATAATTTGGCCAAAAAGAGCTGGCAGTATGGAAAGCTGCCTCCAGCTGGTAAGTCAGAAGGGGAGGGGGGAGGTAAGGGGTTTGGGGGGGCAGATTAACACTT